GAGGTTTTGGCACAATCTCTATTCTGAGGTCTGGTCGGAATTAAAGGTTTAGTACAATTATGCCTAGTCCAAAACGAATGCGTGACCTTGTATGCAAATTGTATGACTTTCCTTCTTTCTTCATAGTCAAACTGTGAGATCGACGCAGTGTGTTGTGGAGTATAACAATCTTCATCGTTACTCACAAATTGGCGAGATAGGTCAGGCCACCCCAGTCTGCTTCTGTGAATGGAACAGGAACTAGCATAGGAGCTCTAGATGAAGTGGGCATATGCTGACATATCCAACAATTAGAGACATTTCTTTGGTAAGCAAATTCAGTCATGATAGTCAGTGCGATGTTGTCCTGGTCGTGGGGCGGTGTACGGGTCGGAGGTTTTCTTAATTCTAGGCTTACTTTGCATGCATATTGCCAATCTAGGCGAGTGAAACTGGCTGGTCCTGTGTCACAATCTGTAGGTTGACTGCACCAGAATGGATATTCCCAACTCATATCATAGTTAGAACTTAGAGTCACCGAACAAGTGTCATTTGTCTGACACTGAGTTTTGACGTGTTCTGAGCTTAGGACTGACCAGTGACCTAAAGATGGTTTACTGAGCCGTAGAGTGTATACTTTACAACCTCCCCTCCCACATTGTGCTCTTGGACATTTAAAGGAGATCGTCCCAGGGCTCCATGTTGCTTTGGTGGGGGGCTGGTCTGGTCTGCAAGAGATCAAAGGCGCTTACTTCATGAGTGATTTCAGGTTGTGCTGTTTGAAGCTGTACCTTCCTGACATGCTGGTATACTCCTCGACACATCCTCCCCCAGTCACTGGGGGAGGATATAGGCCGGGCTTTCCTGACACGACCGTGGCTTACTGCACCAAAATGGAAGATCTGCTGAATTAAACACTTCATGCATCTGTACGGTACAGACACTATCTACCATTGGTCTTGTATCACACACGATTTGGATGAGGTGATTTCCTATAATAACCCTTTTAATAATCATTTTCTATCGTGTAGAGCGAACAATTATTCTTATCAAATTGTTCAGCTGGGCAGTAAAAACCTATTTCTCCTACCTGCCATTCCCTACGGGGATGGAGGAGAGGACTGGTACCCGCTATGTTTAAGTTATGTGTTTGCAATTCATAGATCAGGAACGTGGTTAGTGATAGTAATACGCACATGCCTTTACTCAGGCTCCAACCACGCATTCTGAACAGGTTCCATTTACATGTTGTTTCCATCATTGGACAGCAACCAGTCTATTACATCACAACCAGATGGCAACGTTGGAGCTTGGCTTACTGGTGGAGGGAGGTGGTCGCTTCACACCTCTTCAACCTCTTAGACAGCAACCGTGGCCGTTCTTTCTTCTCCTTCGACATCAACCGTGGCAGTTGTTGAAGCTTCCCTTCCGGATTCGGGATACGTTTGCAGTGGCTAGTGTCGATCCAAGTCACCTTTCCTTCCACTTTCACCGCCGTCTCAGTGGTCAGGAGTACTTGGAAAGGGCCCGTGTAGCGTCTCTGCTTCCAGTGCTTTCTCCTGTAATCCTTGATGAGCACCCAGTCTCCTGGTTTCAGGCGATTGCATTGCAGTGGCTGGTGCTGGAAGCACAGCTTTCACCTGTGAGTGAAGTGCTGAGAGTGAAACTGAAAGGTCAGCACAATATCTTAGCATACTATCTTCATAATGATCTGTTGTCAAAGCCAGTTTTACTGGCCCCAACCCCGTGCAGGGGGGTCTTCCAAACAGTATCTCAAAGGGGCTAAGACCGTGTTTGTTTCTGATCCGCATTCGCATGTGGAAAAGCACCAGTGGAAGTGCCTTTATCCAAGATAACCCTGTCTTCACAACACTTGGCTAGTTTAGATTTAATGGTGCCGTTCTCTTGTTCAACTGCACCTGCTGATTGCGGATGATAACAATGATGTCTGATGCTAAAACCTAAATATTGTGAGATTTCATCGAGGGCCTGGTTAGCAAACCCAGGACCATTATCACTGCTAATGAGGTGAGGTATTAGATTAGATCAGTCCGATCAGTTACATATAGCAGGAACAACTAAGAGGATGGCACACGTGTGTTCAGCCTGTCATATTAAATTTACTCAGAAACATTAAGGATTATAGATGAAACAAAAAAACCAACATGAAATTAGATTATTTATTTATTCTTCAAATATTCAATTTTGTCATTGAAGCTGTTTTGACAAAAACAAGTAAATAGATAATTTGACAATCACGTCTCACTTTGTGAGGAAAGAGCCTGGAAGGCGCTCAAATTAGGGAGTAATAAGAATAAAATAAATACCCACAATTGTACACATATATTTTGACATTGTCATGGTAACATGATATGTTGCAGCAAAGTTCTGTCTCATTCTGTTTACACCATTTCAGTCTCTCACACTCAATCATTTAACAGGTGACGTCAGTAAGTCCCTGAGGATTCAGAGTTTAAGGGTTTAGGGGGGACATTGGGACTGGGCCCACGAGACTTGGGATGTACCCCTTGCATCTCTCCATCCATCCCTGATTAAGACGCAAGGAAAAGACACAAGCGAGGGAAACCGATGCAATTAAGAGACTACACAAAACATATCTATAGTCAGATCTACTCATACACTAGATAGGGCAGTGATGTGTGATGTGAATGAGTGCAGTAGCCGCTCTCTCGTGCAGTAGCCTTGCTTTGCGGCTGGCCCAGGAGATCAAGGCAACTGGGTTCCGTCCAGCGAGTTGGAGGGTATATTTATAGTTGCGCATATTTTTATATATTATAATGCCTTCTGCATTTGATGTCTTGTGGACCTGCATTCTCTCTTGTTGCATCCCTCCTCCCTTTTAATTAACTGTGGTCCCATATTTATTAAAATATTAGAAATTATTATTGTGTTTACCTTCTTCGTATTTGTCTAATTAGGGTTTAGAACTGTTTTTAAAAAGTGGACAAAGTCACTTTGACGTCACCCATTGGTTTGTGGACTGCCGATATGAAACCTTGAGTTTTGCATTTTGGCCGTCGCCATCTTGTGTTTGCAACAAAAAGTGACAGAGTGTGTAGCTTAATACAACTGACACAGAGTAAGTGATGTTTATTAATATTCATGAACTGAAAACACACTATGAAAACGGTTAAAGCTGTGAGATGAAAACGGACAAAACAGACAAAACACAGACCTGTCAATCAAGGTAGCCCCACCCTAAAGCATACCCTGCTTTATCATCTATTATACTCAAAATAGACCATAATTTACCAAATGATCATGCTGTATTGAATAAGACTTGAAACTAGCATGGAGTCGACCAACTTCTGGCACATGTGAACAGGTATTCCAGCCCAGGACGATTGGACTACATTCCACAATTCCTCTGCATTTCTTGATTTTGTCTCAGAAACAGCATTTTTGATGTCACCCCACAAGTTTTCTATTGGATTGAGGTCCGGGGATTGGGCTGGCCACTCCATAACGTTAATCTTGTTGGTCTGGAACCAAGATGCTGCTCGCTTACTGGTGAGTTTGGGGTCGTTGTCTTGTTGAAACACCCAATTCAATGGCATTTCCTCTTCGGCATGAGGAAATGCCGAAGAAATATGAATGAAAATAAATCAATACAGATGTGCCTTTACATTTACATCATTTTCTAAATAAAGCTGATAACACCAACTTCTCTCGACTCAAAGATGCATATCTGTATTGATTTATTTTCATTCATATTTACTCTTCCAAGTATTTTGATGTATTCAAACTGATCCCTGGTATGCGATAAATAGGCCCGACACCATAGTATGAGATCCCCATATCATGATGCTTGCTTCACCATCTTCAGTGTACTGTGGCTTGAATTCAGTGTTTGGGGATCGTCTGACAAACTGTCTGCGGCCACCAGACCCAAAAAGAACAATCTTGCTTTCATTAGTCCACAAAATGTTGCCATTTCTCTTTAGGCCAGTCAATGTGTTCTTTGGCAAATTGTAACCTCTTCAGCACGTTTTTGCAACAATGGGACTTTGCGGGGGCTTCTTGCCGGTGGCTTGGCTTCACATTGTTACAGTACTCACAGTTAACTTTAGAACTTCTTTGATCTCCCTGGAGCTGAACATTGGCGGAGTCTTTGCCATTTTGGCTATTCTTCGATCCATTCGAATGGTAGTTTTCCGTTTTCTTCCACGTCTTTCTGGTTTTGGTTGCCATTTTAAAGCATTTGAGATCATTTTATCTGAGCAGCCTATCATTTTCTGCACTTCTTTATGTTTTCCCCTCTCCAATCAACTTTTTAATCAAAGCACGCTGTTCTTCTGAACAATGTCTGGAAAGACCCATTTTACTCAGATTGTCAGAGAAAAATGCACTATAACCAGCATTTTGCGAGCAGTACGACATTTGCTGCCTTCGTCCTTAAATAAGGGTTACCTGTTCGACACTTTTTTTTTTTTTTTCACAGAATGAATTACCTCACTAATTGAACTCCACACTGCTATTATTTAGAACGCACCCCCTTTCAATTTCACAGAATTAGCAGCATACATGTCATGACTGTTGGTTTTCGATTACTCTACTACACCTACTAGTACATTATTTGCCATGTAGAAATATAATTTCTACCAAAAACAGTGATTGATCTGGATAGTGATGTTGGACTGCTATTATTTTGAACACAACTGTACACATAATAAAAAGGCACATTTGTGAGTCAGAGTTCTGTTTATTAAGATCATGTCTCTAGTTATGTTTGTGGAGAAAAAATACTTCAGTCTTATTTGCCAAAGTTTTGAGGTTTCCAACATTGACATTTCCGACACCAACCAGTGAGCAGCTTTCATTAGAACTATTCATGCAGCAGAAATTACTTCCATAGTAAGATCTGTGGTATCTTCGTAAGTATGCATTATTTCTGGAAACAAAACAAAACATTGCTGTTGAATGTTTCAAAAAATACAAAAAAAAAAAACAAAGATAATAAAATAATAAATATATATATATATATATATATATATATATATATGCAAATAAAACCGTTGCATTTTATTGGAGATACTATGAGGGATGAATGAGATTTTTAGTCAAAGTCTGAGTCAGTCTAAATATTGTAGGTCTGATGCTCTTTTTAGAAACCGATAATTGTCAAATCCGAAACATTGGGAGTTAACTAGTTAGTGCTGCGACCCCCCTTTTTCATTAGAATGTAGTTCCAGTGTCCCTGCAAAGTCTGCTGACTTAAAAATCCTTGTTGAAATTTGCAGTGTTACTAGTGTTAGTGCTGACTGGTCCATCTGCAAATGGGATACTTTCTGCTTGGACAAATCAATCCAAGCTCTTGATTAAGCAGAGAACAAAAAGACAGGTTTTCACAGGTTTCACAAATGTGGTGACGCTTTGCATCATCACTCTGGTTTCTGAGGAGAGATTTGGGACTGCTGACTAAAATCCTGGATTGAAAAGTGACAGAAATTCTGATCCATGGTGGAGGTAGCAACAGGGAAGGAGGAGTTGTTCGAAGTTATTTGATGACATCAATCAGTTGGAGGGGGCTCCTGGGGTTCCCGATTGACTGAGTCAAGAAAAGAAATAAGAGAACAGACTTATTGTTATCTACAGAGCATGGTAATCTAACCGTATTTCATAAACAGCAATTCTAATATAAAGATAAGGTGCAACTAAATACGTTTCTTGGTTTGCGCTTCATAAACATGTACTCTTGTGAAATTATAAAAACAACCCCCAAAAAGGCATTTATCATGCAAGAACATTTTCGTATTTATCTTAACTTTCTCTTCCTTTTTTCGTACGGTGGGCCACGTCAAATTCATTAAATGCTCCTAACTTCAGATAACTGTGTAAATGAGCACTCGTTGGTGATAATTTGAAAGTAGCATAATTAATGCCCAATAATACCATAATAGGCTAAGCGTCCTGCCCCAGATGTCTGGAAGTTTTCATTCATGAGGACAGAGGAATACATTTTTAGACATTTGAATCATCCTATCACAAAGGAAAATCTATACTTTTTAACACCGTCAGCAGTGGATTAAGGGAGATTCTAGGGCCAAGAAATGGGAAAAAACCTGAGGGTCGTACTGAAACACAAGAAATGGTTCGATATGAAAATGTTTTTTTTGTAAAAAGTCTTGCACAGCAAGGTGATTGAAGACTGTATCAGAAGGGGGTCAAAGGGAAGTCTCCATCAGGGAGATGGACGAAAGAATACTTGCCATAATAGGTGATGTTACAATGTCAGGCATTGACAAGACATAAGAGAAATTTCAGTTTTCGAGAAAATTGGAGAATACGGCAAGTTCTCCTAAATCACTCGTACAAACCACTTAAGAAAAAATGTGTTCGTACTAGTGGTTCTTGCATGAGGACAATTTTATTTGGGCCAGTACCATAACATAAATGGCTAATCTTGGCTGTTAAGTGTAAGCAGTATTCCATTCCATTTCAAATTCAACATAACACTCCGTTTATGTACCTTCCTCTCGTGCCTTCATACGGGCGACAAAGTTGTAGCTCTTGTTCCTGCGATAGTTCTCATAAGGGTCGTCCAGTGACACCCCCACACCTTTAAATTGGTCCCACTTATCCCTGACGTCTCCTCCTTTGATTGGATCCTGGATGCCCTGTTCTTTGGCCCCCAAACCACCTGAACCACTCCAGCCTAGAGTAGACCAACACAAGAACAGCTAGAAATCAGTATATACTGCATGTGGTTCATTTTACCATGACATTAAGTTGCCAAATGTAGCTTGTAGATTTCAGGATGGAATCACTTTACAAACATCTCAAATATTATAAGCATACCCATCTTCATTAGCAGCTGATGGCCCTTGTTCTCTTCCCCTAGCCTGATATCTGTAGATGGTTTGGAGGGAGGGGCAACCAACACTGATGTGGAGCTGTAGAGAGCAGGAGACGTGGTCATCTATACTACAGTAAGCATAAGAATGGTCTTTCAGGAAAACATCTTGTCAAAGAACAGCACGGGGGACTTACACAGGAGAAGAGCTCTGAGTTTTAGGGCCATGGCGTTTCTTTGCAGGCGAACGTGAATGTGATCTGGATCTGGAGCGAGAGTGACTCCGAGATGATCTGGATCCACTCCTGGACCTAATAAGAGGTAGGTTAAGCATGCCCGTAAGAAAAATATCTATTTTTCAGCTCCGCTTCTTCCATAGTGTAAGCAGCATTACATTCTG